ATATATATATATATATATACTGTATATACACTTACTTTATGGTTGTCAGAGTGTGAGAAGTAAAACTAAGAAGCATAATTATTGTGAAATTTTATGTTCTATAAGGTTAACAGAGCTGAACGTTATTTAAAAGCAAGAACAATTTGTCCTAGGGATATAAGTCAAGTGTTAGACGTGTCTCTATTGTCATTTACTGACATCTGCCTGCTAACGCCACACTTGCGTAACATCAAACCTTGATTTGTTTTCCTCTATATGAAAGAATCAGCGACCTGTCTTGTAAAATGAGCGTCCATTACTGATCAGCTCAAGCCAAATAATCAGCCCCCTATTAACACACTTGACTCGCATCTTCTGAAAGCCAAAGTTTTTAACCAATTTTAGAAAGCTTTTGATTTAGTCAGGAGTTTGCTGCACTCAAGTTCTCAAGATTAGAGTTTTAAGCCTCATCAAACTATAACCATGGTGACAAAGACATAAAAGCGAAACTTGATCCTTTATCTCAAGCTTACTTTCTGTCATACAAAGGCTTGTTAATAACAATGGAAAATTGGTTAAACCTTACACCTTTATCATCCACACTTTGAAAGATGAACTTATTTAATTATTTTCATTCGCTGCCATACTTATTAGATTTAACATAATCAGAAATGAAATGAAATGTTTTGCAAATTCAACCAAGAGTCTGCTTAGTGTGGGATTAGAAGAAAAGAGCAGAGAGCTGGCTCTGTTGTGTCTTGTGGTGATCACACAGTGTGAAAACATGACCACCCTCCTCTGCCTCTGTAACACTCTGTGACTCATGCTGCTGATCTCAGTTAGAGTCCTGTTAACCACTGATTGCAGCTGGTTTCCCATGTTTGATTATTTCCTCTTCTCTCTTCTGAACCTATTGCCCCGCATTGACCTAAGCACGTTTAAAAGCGCACACACTAAGTGTCCGCTCTGAAGCTCTTAAGTATTCCCTGTCAGACACATACTCATTTGCAAATCTGATCTACTTCACGCACAGCTGATGCCGTGTGGGATTTTCTGACTCGTGCATGTTGCAGTGACATTCATACGTCCATCATGGAGAGATGCTGAAAGAGAGAAGCAGCAGTGAGGAAAGAAAACAAAACAAAAAAACTTCAACAAGGAATAGATACAGTATGAGTTTAAAGAGTGGTGCAGAGGCTGGACAGTATGAGCAGGTCTTATGGAGCAGAGATAAACTGAGAAGCAAAAATAGTGTAAGATATTTTTAGTTAATTGGATGTTTACTTGTGCCACCTCTGCTGTGAAGTAACTACGGTAGCGTAAAAAGCCCAGACATGTCCAAAGATCCCAGTGCGATTGCATGTTAGTATGTATATTCTTTGTGTACTGATGCTTGCTTCACTTGTATGTTTTTGAGGTGTCGTAGTAGAATACAAATACTTTACATTGCTAGTTAAATGGCTTAAGACAATGACTTCTTTTGATTAGGGCCTGCAAGAAAAAAAATGAGCRTTTATGTTTGTAGCAGGTAGATCCTATGAGCATCAATACCACTGTTTTACACGATCATACAATAAAACAAAAATGAAAAATGCACAACTGTTTGTTTGGTTGTATTTAAAACAATCAATTACTATTACTTAGATGCCTAAATTATACCATATTTTACTTAGTAATGATTATCATAATGATTTAAAAATACTTCATCTATTATCTTCTGTAGTCAGTCGATGTGGAGGAACAGTGGCTCAGCTCTGAGTTTTTCCTGGATAACTGAACTTCTCAGCCTATCTTTAAGATAGCATCTCCAGACTTTTATAACTTGTTAAAAATGTTTGATTTAAAAACAGTTTTGCTTCTCTATTAGACAAGCCATGATTGACTGTACCATCCACCCCCAGATTAAATGATTTAATGAGCATATGTTTTGGGGAATTCTGCCCTTGGCCACCCTACATTGCTGAACAGATGGGAACAACAGGTAGTTGAGGTGAAGCACTTCTTGGCTCTCCTCTGGTAAACACTACTTTTTCTCTGGTATTTTCAAATTCAGACTTTAAGAAAGCCTTGAAGTTTTGACAGTTTTGTATATCTTGGAACCACCAACTGGTTCATGGTAGAATATGCTTCAGAGACACAAACTACTTTATAACTTAGGACTAAAATGTTTGGGGTTCCAATAAACAGGAAATTGTTTACTTATAAATTAGACAATATCTGTTGTTAGCTCGAAGCAAATAAAATAGTAAATCTGTGAGTTCCGGTGTTTCTGTATGATGTCTTTTGAGACTTCAGTTTTATTTTGAAGGTGTGGTGTTACTTAAAATAACCAGACACCTCTGATGTAGGTGTTTGTTTGCTGTTCTCTGAGTAAATGTGCCAGTAATAAAGTGAAGATGGCAACAGCCGTATAACAAAACAACTGCCAAGATGAGATAAACAGATTCTCAATAAACAAAACCACACAAACATAATATCTATTTTACATTTATTTCTATTTAGTTTTAATGTTCTGTGGCTTGTTGCTAGATGGTAATCATGGAGTTAATTAGAGTGGACCCACAGACTGTAAATAAAGTTCGGATGAAGCAACAGTGAAACTGGTCTGTGAGCTTCTATTTTAAGCCTTCAGCTTCTGCATTTAGACCAGTAGGAAGGTGTAGCTGCCTAGTCAACAGGAGTGCCTGGCCAAGTTTAGTGTTTTTGTGGTCTAACATCTATTTAATTATGGTATAATTTTCAGGAGGTTCAGAAACTCTGTGATTAGCACTTAACGGTCAAAGATGCCATTATGACGTCTGCTAAAAATGTCCGAACTGAGTGTTTATATGAGGGAAAAAATGATGTTTAGTTTTAAATAGGCATATAATTACTGTCAGTGTGTTGTATTTTAAAGTGTGTATGTTTCATGATGGACAGCAAATAACAAGATTCATGAGTTCATATGCAAATTCTGGGTGTAGCTTTAAAAAATCTTCTGAATTTTATGCAAGTTAATATGTAAAAAAAAAAGTGTTTTTGAATTATGTCGCCTATAGGTTTTAACCAGGAAGAAGTTATTGAGTTTTAATGACTGCTCTTAGTAAAATAATAACAAACCTAAACATTCACAAAAAAAAAAAAATTAAAATTAAAATAAAAAGCACCACCCAAACATAAAAAATTGCACATCCTTTTTTTTTTTAAAAAAATGTGAACTGATTTAAAATTTTGGAAATTAGGATTTTTTTTAACATTCATTTGAGATTGTGATGCCCTTCTATAGGTTTCTAATAAATGTTTAAAACGATATCTTTGTAGTTTGTTGCAGAACATTTTGTAGTTGTGAAAGGTAAGAAAACTAGAGGCATAAAACAAACCTCTCTCTGACTTGATCTTTTTAAAATTGTTAAATTTTTAATATTATGTTAAAGCATCCATCTAATAACAGGAAATCTTAATTTTGAATGCTAGCAGTGTAAAACCGTTGTAGAGGTGTCAGTGTTTGTGTAAAGTTCTGTTAAGCTGTAAATGGATATTAGAGCTCAAAGGTTTAAACAGTATTCTACTAGGTCTTTGAATCTCAGAGGACCTTTATATTTTGATAGTGCAATAAGTTTTTGCGCTTAATTTTTTTGATCAGTTGATCATGGGTCTCAGTGAAGCTGTAGAGTTAATGCTGTGCTTGTTACCATGTAGCACTTCAATGTTAAATGGTTGCTTCATTCTGTAGATGTGGCACTTGCCCAGTGTGAGGGTCAAACTCTCAACCTGCATGGACTTTTTATGCAGTTCAAGATACTGTAGTAGTGGTCAGAAACCAATATGCCAGTCCTGAAGAGATAATTAGTCTTGTTTCTTCTGGAGAAGCTTGAGTTTCAGATGTTCTATTAAGGTCTTAGCATTAATCAGTTTTAATCTCGTTGAAATGCATATTTATTATAAGTAAGATGTAGTTTGGTGATGACATTTAGTAGCTGGATTTTTTTCCACAAATAAAACAATTTTAGCACTTAATCATTTTGATTACACAAGTGGTCTTGTTCATTCAAGTTCATGGCTGGTCTAATAATTTGTCTGTGAAATCATGGACGCTTTGTTATGTTTTTCATTCTGCACATTCCTGAGCTTTGATAAGAGCTTCCACCATCTTTGATACCAGGATGTTATGCGACAYTAAGGCAAGACGATAGTTAGGAGGTGGTTTGTTCTTGTTTTGGGTGTCTGAAATGGTACAGTTTATTTTAGAAAATCTTGTTGAAATGCAAATGTTTTAAGCACTAGTGAGGAGGATACTGTAATTTCTTCTTTGCACAACCATGTTCCAGCTAACATTTCTGTGATTATTGCAGTAATGAGATGATTTTGTGTGCCTTTTTTATTGTACACTGCCTGGCCCAAAAAACATTGCTATGATGTGGGATTACTGCAGTTGGTCAGGTCTAGGTTCAGCATCAGTCTGTGCTCAAAGAATGAGGTCAGCTGACTACCTGAATGTACTGAATGACCCATCAATGGATTTTATCTTCCCTKATGGTATGGGCATATTCCAAGATGACAATGTCAGGATTCATCAGCATGGAATTGTGAAAGAGTGGTTCAGGGAGCATGAGACATCATTTCCACACTTGGATTGGCTCCACAGAGTCCAGAATGGAGAAGGCTTTGTGCTGCGGTCAGACTCTACCATCATCAATGCAAGATCTTGTTGAAAAATTAATGCTGCACTGGATGGAAATAAATCTTGTGACTTTGTAGAAGCTTATCCAAACAATTTCCACAGCGAATGCGTGTCGTATTCAAAGCTAAATGCAGTTCACRAAATATTAGAGTGTGACCTTTATTTTTTCTTTTGGTTATGAATGTTTTTTGGCCATGCAGCATATTTTATTTGCCTTTCTGCATGTATGCTAATATGAAGATCGTTTGAATCCTTGAAAGCACTTGAACAAGCTTATATTTCTGTTTGCAGGAGCTATAGTCTGAAGAAGGGACAGCTGGAGCGGGACTACGCTCAGGTAAGACTGAACAGGGACACATGTGTCCAGACTCTGCCACGCAAACACTTGAAGGTAGACTTGAGTATCATTATGAGGCTCTTATTGTCATCTTACATCAATATTTAATGAAAGCTTTGAAATTACCTTTGTTTTTCTGCCAGTTGCTATTTATTGCCTGCCGGTGAAAGGTGGGCACTAATGCTTTTGCCTGTGTGTGTGTGTGTTTGTTTATTTGTCAACGGTAAAAACCTAGAGATCAGGATGATTGACTATTAATGCACTTTCAAATTTATTTGCATAATCTTGGAAACATTTTGTTTCCACAGACCTCTTTAGCGTCACACACAAAGGGGAGCAAAGATTCATGCACGGATTTTAAAGAGATGTTTGCAAAAAACTTTCTCTTATGCTGCGTTCACACCGAACACGATTTCAGCTTCAAAATCGCAGCCAACGCTGAAGTTGGTCGCACATGCACTTTGAGGTCAGACGCAGGACAGCTGTTGAAGCACTGCACGGCAAGAGCCTCCCCGCCCCTCCCTCCTCTGTCGGGCTCTGTTTAATGTCCGACGAGGAAGTGGCTTTGCTTAGAGAGCAAGAGCATGTCACGTTCATCAGATAATTAATTCATAATTAATTCACCAGATAATTCAGAGTAGAGGCTCACAGCTCGCTTTCAGGACTATTTTTCCAGTCTGATGAGCCGCTGCCACGCATTGGTGAGGATATCTCTGTCAGGACACTGACTGCAGGCACTGGATTTCAGCTAAAGAGCTCCTCTCCATCTGTTTCAGGTTAGTGGACATCATTCAGTAAACTGTCCAGTCGGGAAATATGTCACTACGTCACACAGTGGAGTCTCTCTGATTGGTTGATGCGGCACGTCGAGCTGCAAAAGTTCAGATTTTCTAACTTCAGCGATTTGCGCCTCAGCGCGTCGAACGCTCAGATCGTTCAAATTGTTCAAATCGCGCTGCTCTAATTGCGCTTGAGGCGCCGCAGCACTTCCCGTCGTTGCTTGAAGCGCGTCCACCATAGACTTTGCATGTAAACCTGCTGCTCCTGATGCTGAAATCGCTTTCGGTGTGAACGTACCATTATTCCTTGTGAAGTTTCACTCCTAACTTTAAAAATACATATCATATCTTCTTCCACACACATTCCTCTCTTGACGTGCATTAACTTGAATGTCTCAGGTAGATTTATTTCATAAGGTGATAAAACTTGATTTCATAACCACAAACTTTGATTTACAAGCAAAATATTTTTATAACTACAAACTGAGCCAAAATATCTTCTGCTGATGCAGTGATATTAGAGAGATGTGCTTGTTTTATTCATGAAAAAATAAAAATACAGGCTGTGTGTATTATCAGTGACTTGGAACAATTGCTCCAGTATTGAAAAATCTGTGTTGACACATTACTTGGCTGTCTTATGGTTGCATTAAAGATGCTAAGAGATTTGAAGATGATCCTGAGCTGTCCCAAATACCTCAATCGGGATGAAAATCTGATATTTGAAGTCAGATTAGGACATCTCTACATCACTTTACTTATTCAAACAAGATTAAAAAAAGGGAGAAAGATGGTAAAATCAAGAAAACACTAAACTCTTAGCCACGAGGTGAGCTTGTAAGCATTGGACTTGTAAAAMCTGATGATATTTGCAATTCCTTATTGAGTCTTGCATGATTTATTCTGAAGGATACTTTGTGACTTTGTGAATTTTAGATATAGAGATCTAAATGTCTTAWACTTTGATTCTTTGAACTAGGGTTGGGCATAATAGTATCGTGTGCAATTAATCGTCAGAAAAACATTAATCGATTATTTTTTGGCACTTGACGATTAATACGATTAATGCCACCAGGCAGACTGACTAGATATTTCCCCGGTCAGTCTGCTCAGTGCTCCTCTCTGCTTCAAAAACGACGAACATGAAAAAAAATTAATTCTGTAATTTAT